CAAAAGAATCTTGTCAATCTTTGAAATATAGGTTACAAAACATACCCTAAGTAAAAAAGCAAGGGGAATGCAATTATTAAAGTTGGAGAAGAAAAAATGAGAAGTAATTTAATTATTGAGGGGTAGCTGTTTGGGGAGTGTGGGCTTCCCTCTTACACATACTGCAAGCCTTGGGGATTTGCTTTTACACTAGGGATGAATCTCCTTATGGTATTATTCTAATATAAATGATTTGTAGATTTTCAAAAACTGAAAATTTCTTTTCCTGCATCAAGCATAATTTACATGTGGACTGTCTTAGGGTTTTCATTGCTGTGAAGAGACACCATGGCCACAGCAACACTTATAAAGGAAACATTTAATTGGAATGGCTTGCTTACAATTTCAGAGATTCAGTCAGTTATCATCATGGCAGGGAGCATGACAGCATGCGGGCTGGAGCTGACAATCCTTACATCTGGCTCAGAGGCATCAGGAAGTCAACTAGCTGTCACACTGAGGGAATCTTGAGAAAAAAGAGGCCTCAAAGCCTGCCCCCACAGTGGCACGCTTCCTCCAACAAGGACACACCTTCTAATAGTGACACTCCCTTTGGGGAGTCATTTTTCTTTCAAACCACAACATGTACTGTGTTGAAGACCAACAAATAAAATGAAGTCATCTGTCTATTTGATGATTCCTGGAATCTTTCAGCTCTGGAATCATCCTAGGGAGTGCAATGTATTTGAGTTTTGAGAAATGTGATATAAATCAAAAACTATAATTCATAACATACATATAAAACAATACTTAGATCTAAATTTGGCCACATTTCTATCAAAAATGAATACTAATTTCTTATTAGTATAAAAATTGGAATCATGGCTAAAGAGATGACTCAGTGGATAAAGCCTTTGCCATGCAAGTATGTTAACTTGAGTTCAGATCCTCAGAACTTATGTAGGAGCCAAATACAGTAAGACATATAATTCTCTAATCCCCAGCATGGTCCTAGCAGGAGTTAGGAAGCAGAGGAAAAATAATGAGCTAAAGCTCACAGGCTGGCCAGCCTAACACATGCATCAATGAACAAAAAACCCTGTCTCAAGCAAAGTAGAAGGCATGGACAGACACCCAATATTGACTTCTGACCTATACAAGCCTACCACAGCATGAACATACCCACACTGACACACACACACACACACACACACACACACACACAGAGAGAGAGAGAGAGAGAGAGAGAGAGAGAGAGAGAGAGGAGGCTTGAACTAAGCATTCTAAATGCTTTTGGATGGTTTAATGAAGGAAATGGTGTTATTTGGGCATTGTTAAATTAGGATTCTTCTAGTTATTCATTCAGAAGGAATGGAGATATTACTTAAGAGATAATAATGTATCCCGATTTGGCATTTTCTTAAACCAATCTGAAACATTAAAATGACAGCAGTTAATCTGCCACTTGGAACCTGAAATGATTTACATTGCTCTGGGGCCTCCGTCTAACAGTGGCTTTATGATGTGGTTTCAGGGTAACACATTTAAGCCTGGTTTGTTCCTTCCTCCAGAGCTGATATGAATCCATAAAGCTTTTAAATGATGACTCTAAAATATACAAAACAATTCTCTGAGGCACGTTTTTGGATTGTTTATGTAAGGTCTTTAGATTTCTGGCTTTCCTTTCATGATCTGATATGGAAATGCTGTCTCTGGGTTAGAGGATGCATGTGTAACATCACTGAGGCAGGGATTGCTCAGTTACCTGCTCCATCCAGTACCTTCCAGACTCACCTTCTACCTCACGGATCTTAAGTGCTGTGTGCATGTCACATGGGAGCCTATTGTAAGTGCTGACTGTCTGGGCCCACTTAGTCAGAACCTCTGAGTTCCATTCTGAACCCCAGACTGGGGTTCTAAGGAGGTGATGGGTTCTAAAGGAGGTGATCAGAGAAATGTCATGTCCTAGCTCTGGGGAAAGGATGCTTGGGAAGATCTCGGCACATAAAAGCTCAAGTTTTTCAAAGGGATTGCTGTATCTATAGGTTGATGGTCACAGTGGTTTTCCCTGTGTGACTGGCCTCTGCTACCCCTACCCTCCCTCCCAACTCCTCAGCCTTGAATTGCAAAAACCTGTTATGTCTGTCTTAGCGGCATAGCCTCCTCTCCAGCCTGCCTCTGATTTGCTTGAATGCTATAAATTCTGCTCCTCTCTCCCGCCTATCTTACCATATTGTCCCCTTCTCTCTCATAGACCAAAGCCTATTCTCAAAGGATGCTGCCTCCCCCACCCCCAGCCCCATTCTCTGACAAAGCTCTCTATGCAAAGAGAACCTCTTGGGGTATTTGTTCCAGGCAGCATGTCCTGCTTTCCCCTGTCTGTTAAACATGATTCCAGAGGCCTGTCCTAGGATCAGCTATCTGTTCTAGAGATTCTTAACTCCAGAGGGTGGAGATATCTCCTTGTACTCCAGCACCCATCCTGAAACAGAATGGAAGCCTCTGGAACCTCAGGGGAACCACAAATATATAAAGAGTGTGTGGATTGTAATGGGTAGATATGATGCTTTGTCCTGCAGGCTCTCTGGCCACTCCAAGTTCTTCACAGTGCTGTCCATTCTGGAAGCTTCATGATCCCATCTTTACATAGTTATTGTCTCTGGTTCTTTGGAATCAAGCATCACTGTCCTTGGCCCTAGACACAGAGCAGCTGTCACTGTGTTCCAGGGACCCTGTGTTACCTGATCCTGGAACCCAGCCTGGAGCTATGCACCTTGTGCATTCCTACTTGCCTGATTGTGCAAATCTTCCTCAAGATCAAGAGCTCCTTAAGAGAAAAGATTGAAATTTCAGTATCCAACACCATCCCTGGTATATAGTCAGTGCTCAATAGCTGTTTGCTGGAGAAGTGACCTACTAACCCAATCAGTAAGGTGAGGCCCTCCCCTCATACCTTCCATAAACAGTGCAACACTCACCGTGTTGTGCTGAGGATGGAAGTGTCTCTTCCCACACATACCACATTGTCATGCAAGAAGGTCCCTGGGACAGGGGCTGCATTTACTCATCTTTGCATCCCTGTAGGCATGTAGCAGTTAGCATGAATAAAATATTCAGCCATGGGTCTTCAAATAAGGATACCTTTGGTATTTTGACCAGACAATCCTTAACTGTAAGATGTACTCTACATTGCTATCCTTTTATGTCTACTAGATGTCCTAAGTACACCTCCCATCACCTTGACAATGCCATTTATACCACCAAACACACACATTTACAAATGTCCTTGTGGCAAAAAGGCCAGGAAAAAGAAATAGTTCTTCCTGTGGTGAGAGTCTAGAGTCAACTGGGATCTTCGCAGTTGAGTGAGAATCAGTGAAATCTGTAACAGTGCCCCCTGTGGGCTGACACTGGAGTGGCATCAGCCACCCATAACAGACAGTAGTAGGCAGTCTTGAAACTACATTGAGCTCATTCTTACTAAGAACTCACATTTCCAGGAGCCAGGCACTGTGTCACCCATACATAGCTATTTAATCCTCACAGCCACCCACCGGGACCCAGTTCACAAGAGAGTTTCAAGTCAGTGACCCAAGTTAGTGCATTTGGTGACACTGAAAGTCTCTCCAGGGTATCTGACTCCACTCTTCTGTAATTACTTCTTCAGCGATAATAAATGCCAGAGTTCCCAGATGAAAGCATGTCACTAAAAACTAAAGTGCTAGCGCCGGCAAGATTGCTCAGTAGGTAAAGGTGCTTGCCGACAGCCCCAATGACCTGAGTTCTGTCCTAGGGCCCACAAGGTAGAAGGAAAAAACCTAGTCCTCTAATCTCCACATATGTACTGAGGCATATAAGATGCACCTGCCACACACACACAAAATAAATAACAAATATGTAATGAAAACTATGGTGTGTGGTGATACAGGCTTGTAATCTTAGCACTTGGGAGGCTGAGACAGCAAGCAAGTTTGAGAGCATCCTGTCTGAGAAAACAAAAATAGTTTTTTAAAAACTTGTCATGTCCTGTTAATCACAGCATGGAGTAGTGTTTTATAACATATGTTCTGCACGGTGTTGATATAGATGGCTGTCCGTTGTTGCAGGAACAATAGGGTGCATCGAAGATGACATTTGAGAAATACTTTGGGGGTGTGGTATGAAGAGAGCCCAGAAGCAGTGGCAGTGAAGCCCAAGGGTGTCTCAGGCCTCATGTGACTTCTGCTGGTGATTTCAAGATGGTGTTAGCAGATAGTGGGGATCCACAGGAGGACTTGCCTGCCAGGAAGTGATTACAAGGCAATTAGCTCTGATTAGACTGTGGGAAGAACTGACTCCGGGAGAGCCAGGGATCTTTCTAGTAATTTCTTAGTAATAAGGATGGAAACACTAATAGGTACCATTGAGTACTGATTACCCTGCTTCCAAGACAAAATGCTGCAGCTGACAGAGGTTGGTTAAGAACTTCTAGTTAGGCAGGTCAGGAACCACAGAGCTGAACTTGAAATCAGGTCTCTATAACATCCTATCTTAGAGCTTCCTGAGTCTTAGAGCTCATCAGGGCTTTGCTATTTGGATAGCCAAATCAAATCCACTCACAAGGAACATTTTTCTTTGGGCTTTTTTTAAAAGTTTGTGTTATAACTCTGCCTTTATTTTAAGTAGTCGCTTCAGCCAGAAAGTCAATGGGTATTATATATTATTTATTTTGTTAATATGATACTAGTCCTTGACTTATATCCCTTGTGATATTTCCAGGCAATGCCTTGCTATGTAGCCCAGGCTGGCCTTGAACAGGAACTCTTCCTGCCTCAACTTTCTGAGGCTGAGATTATAGACATGCACCTCCATGTTAAGTTTCTTTATTACTATTTTTTTTTAGTTTACAGGCTTCCTGGCTCTGCTACATGCCATATTTCTTTTTATGGCAGCCATTCAACCCAAATTCAAAGCATAGCTAGCATAGAACTCAGATCTCTCTCTCATCATTTTTTTCGAATTTGTCTTTTCTTTCTTAACAGACGTTGGTGCCTTTTTTGAGGAGGGCATGTGGCTGCGCTATAACTTCCAGGCACCAGTGGTCACTGCTAGGACCGAGAATTCTGCAGACCAGCAGCCCTTGTCTCCAGACCTGGCCCAGGAGCTCATCCACTTCGGCTTCAGCACCACCAAGGCCCCCTGCATTCTGCTCTACGTCAGCTCCTTCACCACTGACTTCCTAGCTGTGCTGGTCAAGCCCACAGGTAAGGACAAGCATGCATGACCTTCTACCTTCAAACGGTAGTCAGACCGAACATGTTAAGAGTCAGAATTGCTCTTGGTTGATGATTTTGCTACTGTGCTAAATAGTGGCATGCTCTGGAGCAGTGAAATTAATCACAGACTAATGAATGAATTGTCCTGATGTTCGATAATGTATCAATAGATCCCGGTGGAATGTAGGAACTCTCAATGAAAGTAGAAAACAAGAAATATTTCCATCTCTAAAGTCTCCCTGACTTTTATACTCACAAATAGATCATTGGAAAGAGAGTTACTGGGAGGTCGGGATGTTTTCAGTTGTGAATCCCTGCAAGTCTAGTTAGTCTTAAAGTACATAAGCCTCTTTTTCAGATTGGAGTTTGGAATATTTAATACAGGTGTGCACATCTGTAAAGGTCAGAAGACAGCCTCAGGGGTAGTCCTCACCTTGCCTCTTCTTGGAGACAGGGTCTCTTATTGTTCACACTGCATATGCCTGATGAGAGATCCCAAGAGTTCCCCAAGACATCCCCAGGGTTCTCCTGTCTCCGCCTCCTGTCTCACTATCACCATGCTGGAATTGCAGACATAAGCTTCTGGATCCAACCTTCCATGGGTCCTGAGAATCCAGACTTGGGTCCTCTCACTTGGATAGCTAGTGCTTGGCCCGCTGAGCCATCTTCCTGTCTTTTGCAGCCATCATTTTAAATTCTTTATTAAATCTATCCTTTGAAAATTTCACACATAAATAGTATATTCCGAGTACTCATACCTCTTTTATCTTCCTCTCACCCCTTTATCAGCCCTCCCCACTTCATCTCTACAACCCCTCTCCCATATTCCTGTCTTTTTGTTTTATGGCCACTATGTTTAAGTAGGGCTAGTTGTGCAACCTAGAGTTTGCACCTATCCATTGAAACACGCTTACTCATCAGTGGGTACAATGTCTGCCCCTCATCCAGAATCCACTGGAACACTGTAGTCCAGCAAAGAGGAGTAGGAAAGTGGCCCCTACTGCCCTATGATTGGCTGTTGAAAGGCCCGTCAGAGCTATCTTCACAACCTTCTGTACACTAAGTCAAAGGATCCAAGTGAGAATATGCAAGTGCTTTGACATTCAACAGCTCTCTATATGTGTCTTACTAGGCCAGAATTAGAAAAATAAGCATGCTGCACATGGAGTATTCTATTTCCTCTCTCTCTAAAAGCTGTATCTATCAATGTTTGAAGAAGATTGCTTTTATAAATACAAGTATTTGAGGTGTATGAAGGAAGGTATCTCTTGACTCACTTCATATGAAGTGTGTGAGTTGAAAATAGAGAGGCTTTCCCTCCTATTAGCCATCTATTGTCACTCTTGAATAGACATTCAAGTGTTGGCACATCTTACAGAACAAGATTTTCTTCCAGGAGAGCCAAAATATTACCACAATGGAGTTACATATTTGGGAAAATAGTGAATTTTCAAATACACTCTCTGGGCAATATGCTGTAAGTTTTTTAAAAAGATGAAAGAAAATTATGTGTCCCAGAGCCCCAGAGTTTCCCCCCTTTTAGAATTTATTAATGAAAAAGCCCAAAATCAGAGTCTATAGCAAGAATATATTCATCATAGTATTGCTTATGAAAATAGAAACTGAAAAGAACATAGAAGGTCCTCTTCAGTAAAGTAATATAAAAGAGAACCGTTGGTTTATGGACCATTATGTGTCTATTAAATAGTGTTTGTGAAAAATAATTAAAGACATAGAGGCAGTTCACATAATATAAGGCTACACTAAGAGGAGGTGAGATACAGCCTTAAATATGTAATATCAGCTTAGCTCTATAAAGCAAACATGAATAGACCAGAAGCACAAAAATGTGAGTACAGACTGTGGTTAGAGGTGCATGATTTGTTTCTCCCAAGTGACACCATTCTGTGCATGCCAGATGCTCACTTTGAGTACATGTCACTTTTCTAATAAAAAATAAACAAGTAAGTAAAACCAGAAAGCAAGAGCTCAAGAGAGAAGAATACTCAACTCCCATGCTTCAGGAGTTCAGTCAATTACTGGCCTGGATCAGGCTCAGTGGGTGTTTTAATCCATTGATGTTCTCCCTTGTGTAGCTTCCTGGTGGGCAGACAGCCTGTGGCTTCTCATGTCTCGAAAGAGAAGGTTGTCACCTTGAAAGTGTCAAGAATCTGATGAGCATGGACCACTGGACACTGTGCTGTCTGCTCCTCTGTCACTTCCATGCTAAAATTTGCTTCCAAGCTATATATGTGGTAATTCACATGCACACTGCCTATGCCCACATTACATGCATGGTGCTCCTGTGTGGGCATTTATCATGTGAAAGAGCTTTATTTGATCGATTCTACAGTAATGGTTGCCAGTGAATGGCACTCACCTGTGCACAGCATGCTCCCTAAGTGCTTTAGAGGCATTGATTCGGATGAGCTTCACAACTCTATGGGGTAGACATGATTCTCATCCTTTCCTCTGGATGGATGGAAAGGCTGGGGTACAGAAATATGAAGACTTTTGCATGATCAGCTGGTGGAGAGGAAGAGGGAGGTCTCTGGCTGCAGGTTCTGAATCCAGGCTGGGAGCTCTCCATGGCAGACACCCCCAAAACAGGCTGCATGTATTTGGAAATCAAAACGAGATGCTTTCTTTGTGGGCTTTGGAAAGCCATTCTTAAAGTGTTGTGGAAAATGTAATCTTCCCATGCTCCAAATACCACATCTTTTTGTTAACTGAAATTTAACAAAATAGTGGGAAAAAAAGTTCAAAGAAAGCATTCAGATAAGAAAGAAACAGTTAGTGGTTTTATTGCAGTAAAGAAACACAACTCTTAGAAAGAAAAACATTTAATTGGAAGGAGGAGTCTACAGTTTCAGAGTTTTTTGTCCATTACCATCATGGTGGAACATGACAGACATGGTGCTGGAGAAACAGCTGAGAGTCCTACATCTTGATCTGCAGGCAGCAGGAAGTGAACTCTCGATAGATGTAGCTTGAGCATAGGACACCTCGAAACTCAGCCCCATAGTAACACCCTTCCTCCAACAAGGCCATAGCTACTCCAACAAAGTCACACTTCCTAATAGCGCCAGCTCCCTTTGGGGACCACTTTCCTTCAAACTACCACATTTACAGATGCCAATGTATGGGGGAGGGGTAATAAACAAACCATTTAAAAGCTGTAACTAAATATCCTGGCTCCATCAGATATCAAACGCTCTTTCATTATTTCCAAGAGTCAGCCTCCCTGATACCTCCTTGTCCTAACAGCCACCACCACTGCCACTCAGAGGCTGTGTTCCCATTCCCAACTGATTGTAGACCTTCCCTGTTCTTGTGGACCATCAGGCAAATGAGTCCCATAGAATTTACCCATGATCTTTGCTCCCTCTACTGCTCTCCAAAATAAAACTCTTCTAACTCAGGCTTCCTGATGTTTTCCACACTGTGACGCCATGGAAAGTAAACACACTGGAATGCCGCAGAGTCAGTGATGGGTTGTGTTTGCAGCCCCCTCACAGACACTCCAGCTGCCCCACCTCCACCAGATACTCCAGCTGCCCCACCTCTACCAGATACTCCAGCTGCCACACCTCTTGTACATCTGCTGAGGAACAATGGGAGTCAAACCCCTGCTACCTTGTCCGATTCAGATTTCTTCCTTTTCTCTACCTCAGTGGCTTATGGCCTTCACACCTAGACAGGGCAACCTTCTCTTCTAAAGATAAATGCTCAGCAGAGACATTGTATTGTAGCCCTAGTAAGCATCATTTGGTGACACACACACACTAAAAACATGGGAGATGAATCCCACAACCTTCAAGTTGAAATCCATTCGTCTTCTGGTGACCTATCTGGATTCAAATTCTGATTCTCCCTTTTGCTACTGTCTCAGATTATCTGTGATTAGCTTTTATTTGTGTTTCTTGATCTGTAAAATGTCGTCCCCTCCAATGACTTAATGTACAGAGTCTAAAAGTTCTGTAACATATACATGCAAGATCAGGTGTCTTAGTTACTTTTCTATTGCTGTGACAAATCACCTCAACTAAGTCAAAGGTTTAGAAAGAAAGGATTATTTGTGTCTTACAGTTCCCAAGGGAAAGGAGTCTGTCATCACCATCATGGAAACAAGCAGGGTGATGGAGCAGTAGCTTGGAGCTGATATCCCAATCCACAAACAGGAAGCAGAGAGAGAGAGAGAGAGAGAGAGAGAGAGAGAGAGAGAGAGAGCGCACATTGGGAATGGCAGCTCAAAGCACCACCGCCCCTCAGTAACAAACATGCCTCCTCCAGCAAGGCCCAAGCCTTCTAATCTTTCCCAAACAATTCCACCAACTGAGGACCAGATATTCAAACAGATGAACCTAGGGGGTCATTCTCATTCAAACCACCGCATAAGGGTTAGTAGATACTCTAGGCAGAGTCTATCAATTCAATCTATGCCTTCCCATTTCTTGTTCTACAATTTCAAGAAGTCAGTTCAAAATGAGTCTGGGACCATCTGTGCTCAGCTCTCATGCTCACTTTCCTCTGTAGTGTATGCCTAGGTGCCTTCTGCTATGAGCGCTGACCACCCTCACCTCCTTCTGATGACTTCTGGCTTCACACTCCAACTATACTTATTTTCAGTTTCATTTGTTTGGCACTTAATGTATTGTTATCTGACTCGGTTATAAATATGCCCTGTCTTTCCAGGGAGATGCAAAGCCCCCAGTACTACATTTCCTGCCTACAGTTGGTGCCTTGTAAGTGCTTGCTGATGGCAGTGGTGACGTTCAGGAGATAGTAAATCTGCTAAGCATGGGATTTGCTACAGCCAATAAAAGAGCAATTCCTTAAAATGGCTTTAATTCACTTGGGAGATGAACATGAGATAAAAGAAGGGAAGTGTCTCCCTATTTGAATAATACTTTACTTTAATGGATAAATATTAACATTCTCCCTACCATCACTCAGTGGTCCTCTTCTGCTATTATTTGAAAGGAATGAATGAATCATTTAAATGTTGTTACTCGAATGTTGCCATAATTGTTTATAGATAGTCACTATCTATACATTTAAAGTTTCAGCTCATCCCTTTTTCTTGGAGCAAATCATTTCTGCTAATATTATGTGAAACACTTACTAGACTTTTAAATCATATTTACAAAGCCCAAGGAATCCATTAAAAAGATGAAGATAACTTAATATAGGTGGCAAACATAAAAGAGCCATTGATGAACAGTAGGAGAGACATGTTAGGGCTTTGCATTATCGCCAGCTCCTCTGACCGCCAGCCCACAAAGGCAGCAACCTTTCTTTCACTTGTCTCTGTGTCCCCAGATCTGCACATAGCACATGACCCATGGTGGGGATCTGAGACAGTTGTCAGTGCTGGAATTCAACTCTGTACCTGTAGTCTGACAGACAGCTCACTTTGGGGATTGAAGGAAGCTGTGCTTTGCATAGATACTGGATATATTTGTTCCAAGGAAATGAATAGTGAACATATACAGCTGCTTATCTGAGATATCTAATGTCTAAACTGGATGCTGTATGACCGACAGTGCATGCTGGGCCTGACAACATGTATCTGTAAGCCCAGTGCCAGGAAGGCAGGGACCAAAGAGAGGATCCTAGTTCTCGCTGGTCAGCCAGGTAGCCAAGTAAGTGAGCTCCAGACTCAGTGAGAGACTCTGCTCCAAAAATTAAGATGAAAAACCACTAAAGAAGACATTCAAGTGTCAACCTCTGTCCTTCACATGCTTAGACACACCTGTGCAAATAAACACACACACACACACACACACACACACCACCCAAGACAACTTGATTTTTCTGCATGTTACCAAGCTCCTGATTAATTATATCCTTAAATACAAATAATGATTATTTCTTTTGCTAGTAGGATAAAGGGGAAGGCAGAGAAACACTAGGGGGAAGAGGGTGAACAGCTTGGGAAGGAGCAGCTTCCTCCAAGGCTCTAAGGTAGGAAGGGAATAGAATTTTCTGGAGAATAGGAGGGGCCCAAGATAGCTTGGATGCAAGAAGGAAAGTGTCATGATTTGCAAATATGGCATCAAGCACAGCTCACAGGGGACAGGACTCCACAGTGACATTAGGAACATAACCTTCATTCTTTGAGCAACTGAAAGGCATTGAAGGATTTTAAATGAACCATTAAAATAATCAATTATATGTCTTGAAAAGATCTCTCTGGTTTGCAAAGAAAATACTGAAAGAAAGCACAAAAGCAGAGGAGGCCATTCACAAACATATATATTCAACAAATACCTAATAAACAGGCGGTGTTCTAAACAGAGGTTATAAGGTCCCAAGAAGCAGAAATGAAAACACTTGCTCTCAAGGAGCTCTCACTAAAACAAGAAAAGACAGACAAATGAATGAAATGGAATCTAGAATGTATTGTATGGTGAGAACCGTCATGGGGGTGGAGTATAAGGCAGAAACAGAGGAGACAGCCAAGGAAAAGGAGTAAGAAGTCATGGGAATCATCACTAGGCATATGGCCTAAGAGCAAACAGTTGAATTGGGGGGGGGGGGTTTCAGCTATGCAGCTATCTAATCTGGGATAGAACATTGTAGAAAGAAGAACCCCAAGTGTAAAAGTCTGGAGACAGAAACTTGCTGGGCTTCTGGGAAAGCAGCTTGAAGGCTGACTGTACAGGTGACAGGGGAACCAGGAAAGAGGTGGCCATTCGTGTAAGGCATAGGGAGTTACTATACGGACTGGGATTTTCATTCTAATAGGAAGTCATTGCTATGTTATGAGCTGAAATTCACTCTGACCACTGTATGGAAGTGAGAGGGGCAAAGGCCAGACTGGTGTAGGAGAAGGCTGAGGTAAGAGCAGGAAGGGGCTACCGCAACCATCCAGGCGAAGAACGTTCTACAGCCAGAAATGGAATGAGTAAAATGTGGTAAGATTCAGGGTCCGACTTCAAGATCAAGCCAAGAATTTCCTACAGTGCATGAATATTGAAAAGGGAATAGCTAGAGTTCTGGCAAAGATAACTGGAAGCATGAAGTGGCCATCCACCAAAGTACATAAGTGGCCATCCACCAAAGTACATAAGCCAATGCTGAGACAGAAACTCAACGCCATGTCCAAGGTGCCAAAGAGTCGTCCAAGCAGAAATATTGAGTTGAAGGTTGGAAAGAGTCAGATCAAGGTAGAAGTTTGGCTGAATTACAAATTTGGTGTCTTCAAACAAAGCCAAACACAGAAAACAATGGCAGTGGAGGCAGGTGTGGCACAGAATAAAGGATGGTGAAGGGCTGTGCCAATGAAGAAGCTGGAAATGCGTGAGGAAACCTAAGCAGTTGATGCTGGAAGCCTTCGGTAGTTCTCATGTTCAGGAGGAGGCACAAATGGCACACATCTGTGCTAACTGCCCTTCCAGAGGTCTTCAGGCCCTAGAAAGAGCAGTGTTGGTCCAGTTGGAAGATGGGGAAATTGTGGCTATGGTAAATGGGAAAGGTACTGGACCATAGAGAGTGGACCACCTCCTCTAATGGAATCTATGTGGCGCCTGAGATGGAAAAGAAATTGGGACTGTAGATTCATTTAGAAGACAAATATCATAAGTTCTTGGTAGAAATACCATAGCAAAGAAATTTAAGATAAAATGTGAGGATTAAAAACTCAGAAATAAAACTGGGCTCACACATTTAATCCAAGGACTTGGGAGGCAGAGGCAGGCGTATCTCTGAGTTTGAGGACAGCCTTGTCTACAGAACAAGCTCCAGGACAGCCAGGGTTACACAGAGAAAACCTGTCTAGAAAACAACAACAACAAAAAAAAAAAAACAACAACACAAAAAGCAAAGGTACAAACCAAAAAAAAAAAAAAAAGACCCTCAAAAAATAGTAGTTTATTGAATTTTGTTCAGAAAACAAAAATAGGATGCAATTGATTCTTGATTATACTAAATTTCAACCCCAGGGAAACAGCTTTCCATCTTAAGGGACATGTGCTAGGATGCCTACGTATGGAAGGATGACACTTTGATCGTCACACTTATTTATGTGTTCAATGTGTGCTTGAGGAAGGCCTGTAGCAGCAACTGCCAAGATGGTTAGAGTAGTTAACTCTCTATAGTTAGTTTCAGGTCATTTTTTAAGGTTTATTTTTTAATTATGTGTATATGTAGGGATGAGTATGGGCATGTGTGAGTGTAATTCCTGCCAAATACAGAAGAGGGCATCAGATTCCCTGGAGTAAGAGACACAGGTAGTCATGAGTCACCCAAGATAGTATATACTCTTATCAGCCAGATCACCTTGCTAGCTCCTTATTTCCTTCTTTTTCTTTTGTTTAGTTTGCAGTGTTGATTACTGTAATTTTTTACCTTATAATTTAAAACTAGAACATCAGTTCTTTAAAAAAAAAAAATGAGCGAAAACAAGGAATCCACTGGTGACGTGTTAATCAAACTCTTGCTAGAGATTGCTGGATCCATCTTTAACCTTTGAGATGTCAAGTATTATTAAGTGTACGAAACCAATTTAAGTTTAAAATGAGAAAAAAAAGCATTAATGTTTATAAATTATAAGTAACATTATAAATAATAAAAATTATAGTCATTTTGCAGAGAGAGAGAGAATGAAAAGACAAAGTGAGCTATCACTGGGCTCAGGACACCTGGGATATCCATCTTGTCCCTAAATTGCATTTGATTAATCCTGAACCTTGAATATAATTCATTACTTTGTCTCTTTGGTCTCCGTGAGGCCATTCAAAATCCCATGCACTTATCTTTTGCAAATTATGTTTATTTTTAATAAGACTCATGATTCCTTTATATGCCAAATGTCATACTTCACTGACGAAGCGAGACAGTCCCTGCACTCCAGATTTAATTTTTATTTTATGTAGTATTTTGCAGGCGTCTCCATCATACTATTTGGTATTTGTCCTTATTCTTCATTTTCCAACACCGTCTCCACTCGGAACATTTACACCACCTGCTGCCTCAACTTGATTACAATGGTCAGTGGTTTTTGTCATGGGCAAACATGAACATGTGTGATTCTGGTACTATTATTCTAAGCCTCTGGGTAGTGGACCCAAATTCAAAACTGGAATGGCAGCCGTGGACATGGAAGGGGCAGAGTTTCTGTGAAGCCAGAGCTGCAGTGAGTGAGTGAGGTGACACAGAAATAAGCATCCAGCGAAAAAGCACTAAGCCTCTTTCCTTTTTCTCCCGTAGGAAATTTGCAGATCCGGTACAACCTGGGAGGAAGCAGAGAGCCGTACAATATCGATGTAGATCACAGGAACGTGGCCAATGGACAGCCCCACAGCGTCAACATCACCCGGCATGAGAAGACCGTAATTCTCAAGGTACTGATACGTTTGCATACAAGTCACGGCCCAATATTAACGGAATGTTTTAGTATCTCTACCTTATAATGCTTGGCCATTTCTTTTGGGGGGAGGTTTTGTTCTGGTTTTCTTTGTAAAACTGTGAATCAAATCTAGGGCCTTGCACATGCGAAGTCAAGTTCTCCGCCTCTGAGATATATGGCCAGCCATCGTTTTATGTTTTAATTTGTGGAGAATCTATTAAGTTGCCTGGGCTAAGGGATGAAGAGATAGCTCAGTGACTAAGAGCACTGGTTTTCTTCCGGAGGACATAAGTTTAGTTCCCAGCACCCACAATGGGTTCACAATTGCCTGTAACTGTAGCTTCTGGAGATCTGATGCCCTCCCATGGCACATGTGAGAATCCACACATGTGTAACACACACACACACACATTAAAAAAATAATAGCCGGGCGCTGGTGGCGCATGCCTTTAATCCCAGCACTCGAGAGGCAGAGGCAGGCGGATCTCTGTGAGTTCAAGGCCAGCCTGGTCTCCAGAGCGAATGCCAGGATAGGCTCCAAAGCTACACAGAGAAACCCTGTCTCAAAAAAAAACAATAATAATAATAATAATAATAATAATAATAATAATAATAATATAATCAAGTTCCCTGGCTTGCCCTGAGCTTGTGATTTTCCTGCCTTGGTCTCCCAAATAGTTACAGACTTACACCATGATTCTTTGGGGGAATTGAGGCAGGTTGAAAGGTGGATAGACAATATTATACTTCCTACTCTAAAAGATTAACTTAGAAGTATAAAGATATGCTCAGCTATAACTTGTTATTCATGCGGAATCTGTTCCAGAACTCCTCATGGATACCCAAATCTGAAGATTGCCAAGTCCATTATAGAAATGCATAGAACTCACCCCTACCTACACACTTACAATAGTCCGTCTCTATATTCCTTGCCAAACTTATACAATATAAGTTCCCCATTAACAGTTGCTATGCTACATGAAGGAATAAAAACAGGAAAATGTCATGTATGTGCCCAATACAATCTTTTTTTTAATATTCTTGATCTAAGGATACAAATCCATGGATAAGGACAATTAACTCTCACTCCTTCAGGAAAGGCAATGGCAGTTAAGGTGAAGAAATTTTTTAAGGAGAAGTAGAATAAGTGTTTCCTCTACAATCCTTATGGACTTTGCCTCATTTCCTAGCTATCATTTGAGCATCTCTCAGGCCATTTTTCATTCACCCCACCATTTTTCCTGGCTACAGTCTAAAAGTATCTGGAGTTTGCCATGTTCCCCTGCAAAGGATATTTTGGTCTCCCTGGCCTACTTTTTCATGACTCAAGAACAACATAAATAAAAATATTTGGTTCTTTTCCTTCCTCTATGGAGGCATCCTTAAAAATCCTCAAAATTCACTTTTCCCTCAAAATCTAAGGCCATAGTTTTTTCAGAAGACAAATGTGTGGTTTTATGATTACCCTCAAGTTTTATTTCAGATTCATTTACTGCCCCTCCCCTACCACTGACTTTTATGATGAAGCAAGCGGCCAGGGAGACACCATGAATAAAACATGGCATAAGGAGGTCTCCCTGGGAAGCAAGCCAGAAGATCAAGGAGGGGAGCTGTCACCGCACTGTCTAGATGGGAGCTCCACACAGATACCTGTCAGGACAAAGAGCAGGCATAGGCGGCTTTGTCTCAAAGCAGAGTGGCAAGTAGCAGAGCCTGGGCAGCCTCTCCCACCTCCCTGGATTCAGCCAGCTGCTGGGAAAGTCAGGGCTGCACAGAAAAAGCCGAAGTCCCGTCTCCTTTGATTGCTGATGGATGTCAGATTCGTAACTGGATGAGGAGGGTGCATGTGGCCTTAGCAGTGAATGCCAGAGGGCATTTTAAAAAGAGATCCTCCCTAGGAAAATGACAGCGTGCTGTTCCAGCCTGTTAGGCCACCTATCAAATGTGGCATGTGTGGGGTTATCTCACAGTGGCTGACAGAATCCTTGGGCCTTGCACAGTACCTGGCACATCTTATGTGCTACAAATTGTTGAGCAGATCAAGCCTGTCTTTAACCAAGACCCATACGTTATTCAGAAAAGATGGAGAGGGCTGGTGAGACTGGCTCAAAGGGTAAGGCACTTAGCCACCAAGCTTGAGAACTTGAGTTCAACCCATGATTCCACAGTAAAAGAAAAGGGCCAACTCCTGAGGGCTGTCCTGTGACCTCCACACACAATGATGCGCACACAAACACACACAAACACACAAACACACACACACACACACACACACACACACACACACACACACCCCACAATAATAATAATTAAAAATAATTTTTAGAGAAGAGATAGGTGGCTTTATGGTATTTTATGGACTGTGTTCATTTGGCATTTAAAATTTCTCTTACTTTTTGTATTTTTTTATTTATCCCTTTTTATCTGACTATAGTTTCCCTTTTCTTCCTCTGCTCACGGTTGCTCCCCACCCTCTCTTGCATCCAGTTTCACTCCATTTCTGTCTGTCGTTAGAAAAAGAACAAGCTCCTAGGAGAAAACAACAAAACATAACAAAATTAAATATAACAAGATAAAATGAAAACCATCATATCAAAGTCGGAGAAGCCAAGCCAATAGAAAAATAAAAGAGCCCAGAGAGAAGGCACAAAAATCCGAGACCCAGTCATTGGCACGTTCAGAAGTCCCATGAAAGTGTACGTACAGGGAGCTGGTGCAGACCTGTGTGGGCCCTGGGCCTGCTGCTCCAGTCTCTCTGAGTTCCTATGAGCTCAGTTGTTTCAGAGGGCCTTGTTCCCACAGTGGCCTCAGACCGCTTTGTCTCCCCTACTCCTTCTGCTTCACTTTCTGTGTGGCTCCCTGAGCTCTGAGGGAGAGATTTGATGGATGCATCCCATTTAGAGCTATGTGTTCCAAGGTCTCTCTATATAACGTCTTGTGAGTCTCTCTACTTGTTCCCATCTGCTGCAGGAGGAGGCATCTCTGATGAAGGCTGAATAAGGAAACAATCTACGAGTATAGCAGAATATCATTAGAAGTCATTTTATTGCTTCATTTTTTTTTAGGTCAGTGGTATCTGATTTTACCCTAGGTCTCTGGACTATCTATACTCTGGGTCTTGGCCTCCCAAGCATGGTCCAGGATGGGTTCTATCTCATGGAGAGGGCTTTCAGTCAAATTGGACATTGGTTGGTTACTCCCACAAGGCTTGTGCCACCATTTCCCTAGCATATTTTGCAAGCAGGACAGATGTTCAATGTTTTGTGGCTGGGCTTGTGTTTACTTTTCTCTTTTGGTAGCTTGCAGAGTGCCTTTCCATGTCATAGATACTAGAACAGGGGGTGTAAGTTCTATTTAGGCTCCAGCTCCACCTCTCCATGTTCAAAGTTAAGTGTTGTGTAGGTGTTGTCTTTGGCAATGGGACTTAACTGTGCATTTATGGAAAACAGCCTGTTGTTTTGACAGGTGTCTTGGGTTTTGTGTCAGGAGTTTACTGGATTTAACATTTTTTTGATCAGTATTCATTTCTTCCATCATACCTTCAACACCTGGGATTCTCTCTTCCATCTCTTGTCTTCTGTCGGTGAAGTTTGCCTCTGAGTTCCTGTTCAGATTCCTAAATTTTTATTTCCAGAATTTCCTCAGTTTGGGTTTTCTTCATCAATTCTATTTCTAGTTTCAGGTCTTAAGCAGTTTTGTTTATTTTCTTCTGTTTGTGTTTTCCTGGATTTCTTGAGGGTATATATGTCCCTTTCCTCTTTAAGGACCTCTGTCATATACATAAAGGTAGTTTTAAGGTCTTTTTCTTGTACTTAACTATGTTGAAATATTCAGGAACTGCTGTGGTAGTATAGCTGGGCTCTAGTGGAAATATGTTGCCCTGTCTTTTGATTGTGTTTTTATGTTGACACATAGGCATCTGGGATTGAGATGGTTATAGGTCTAAATGCTGATTTTCAGTTTTGTCTTTGTTGGATGAGTGTTTTGTTCCTTTTTTCTCTCTCTCTGGATTTTCAGAGAGTGTGCTGCCTGATAGGAAATTTTCTTTGGACCTGATAGTTTTGATCACTGTGGGTTCCCAGTAAAATGTGTTTCTGGATATTGACAACTGACATAAAAGGCTAGGGGTCCAAGAGCAGAGTGCTGAACCAGGTCCTGCCTATTTCATCTACTTGCAATAGAGAGAATGAAGAGAATTACCACAGAGGGTCTTCTACTGTGCTGGGTACGAGACTGAGGAACTGGATCTGGAGGAACAGAGGGATGGATGTGGATCTGCAGACCTCTTACCTGTATAAGCTATTAATTTGCATTGACTTTTATATGAAATTGTATTGAATATCCCTGCTGTTTGACCCTTCTTTTCTTCAGTGTCCAATCAAGTACCACTTATCAGTGAAACCTTAAGGAAGAAGGCCTTGGTTCCTGATGAATTGATGTGTATTAAATATTACATTGTTCTTCATCTTCCTTGTCATTTCAAGGAATGCCATTGCAACATCTTACCCAGCCTCCACATTTAGGTCATGTATCAAGAATACAAGCCTTGTGTGTTAATATGCTTCCATCTATAGGTGTGGTTCTTATTGTTGATATTAGGAGTAGAGATAGGAATCGAGAGAGAGAGAGAGAGAGAGAGAGAGAGAGAGAGAGAGAGAGGAGTGATGTGAGTTCAAGGCCAAGAGTGCCTATGTGGCAACGCCTGATCTCAAAATTCAAAAAACATTAAAAATGGACAAAATTATGATTTATTTAACCATTGGAAGTGTTGGATATTGAAAACCACATGTTAAGAAGTCTCCAGTTTGGGCACTCAAGGCCCTAGTCGGCACATAACCTGAAATAGTATAGACATTATTTTTTATCTAGCCAGAGTATCTCACTTCATTGATTTCCCCCTTCGTGAATTACATACATCTCAAAAGTGTTATTTCTGACATTAAACTAACCACATGATTTGCATAAAAAGTAAAAAATAGTTTAATTAGCAAAAAA